TTCAAGCTCAATAAGAAAGATAAAGAGCGAACAGTAGCTGAAGGGCAAGAAGGAATCCAGGAAGCTGGTGTGCATGCAGTTTCAGCAAGTGGGGCAGAAGAACCAGTTACAGAAGAGATTTCCTACACAGAAGTGATCACTAAAGTGAAGAAAGACAAAGGCAGTGGAACAAAAGGCACGTCCCAGCCAGCAGAGAAAGTTGTGCTCACCCCTGAAAAAATCGTTCTTAACCAGGAGGCAGCAGAAGAAGGAGGTGATAACGTGCTTCTGTTGGACCTCAAGCAACCAGCATAAGTGATGGAGTAGTATATACTGTGCTATTGTACAAGAGAAAACATAGTATCTGTTTATCTGGGCAGCTTGAGAGGTGTGTGTAACTTTTTATTGTTCTATATTGGTGCTGTTCTGGTGTTTATGTGTGTAGCAGACAATGTGTTTGTTGCCTTTTTATTACTACGCAAAGTCACATAAACAGAATGAAGGGGCTCATCTCTCTTGACGTGTACATATAACTTCAATTAATGCGAATGGGAGTTACAATTGCATATCACAAGGAGATGGAAACTCCTTGTATATTTAAATCAAAACTATGAGGCACTTAATAGCCTTGTTGCTATCTTTAGTTGTATGCACAGTGGCATTCAAAGAACATCTCCGTTTATCTCATGCCAACATCAAAAAGCAAACAAGCAACTGAGATATATGTCAGGTTTCAGAGTAGCAGCCGTGTTAGTCTGTATTCGCAAAAAGAAAAGGAGTACTTGTGGCACCTTAGAGACTAACCAATTTATCTGAGCATGAGCTTTCGTGAGCTACAGCTCACTTCATCGGATGCATACCGTGGAAAGTGTGTATAAAAAGATCTTCTGCAGTTTTCACAGTGTGCATCCGATGAAGTGAGCTGTAGCTCACGAAAGCTCATGCTCAGATAAATTGGTTAGTCTCTAAGGTGCCACAAGTACTCCTTTTCTTTTTGAGATACATGTAGTATTTTATATTAGCAGAAGGGAAGACTACAACTACGAGAATTGAGCTAAGACTCTTCTTGGAGCGCCTGCTCACATAGCAGGAGGAGGAAATTATTGCTTTGGAGACAGTGCAATAAAAGGCAGCAGAGACCCTAGATTTTTGAGAACTGTTCTCTGAAGTGACTAAGAGGGACTTCTAGCATTTTGAAAGGGGGGATTGATGAAGTTGAGAGATGTACTTTCTGAAGCAGCAGCAGGCTAAAAACTATAGGCCAAATTAAACACTGGAAAAATCTGGAGGCAATGGAGAACTCTGGTAGAATATCTGTATTATGCAAAGGTCAGTGCAAGTGTCAATTGGTACTGAGGACGGCAATGGTATAAATTAAATAAGGGAAACAAGATTAATATATGGGGACTGAGGAATAGAGAGTTAAAAACAAGAATGTGGGACTAAAGTGAATTTTGAGAAGGGCAGGCCCATTTGTCTTTTCTGTGCAAGAACTGATTAATAGTTGTTCCTCTACTCCCATCATACAAAACTAAAAACAGCTTAAGAATTAATTGCCACCGACAGAGCAGAGGAAAAACAGATCATTGTTGTTTTTTTCTTAAGGTAGCTGCTGAGATAAAAGGACCGCTGTGTTTTCTGCTCTTAACATTTTGCTGGGGTTCTAAACAATTAAAATAAATTCCATAAAAAGCTATTGACACGCAGGCCAATCCATATCCAGGTCTTTGTTTCCTTTTCATCATCACTATTGACCAGTCACAGCCAGAGAGAGTGCAAGCCAGACACTGTCTTTAAGAGTATGAAACACAGTGTGTTTGTAGCACTAAAGAGGCAGAAATCCATGCCCTGAAATGAGGTATGTTAGTAAACATAGCCATTGTACTGGCAGAATAAGTAGGGTTTAATGGGCCTCTTCTGTTTAAGTTTACTTGATGTCTCCTTAATACTTACATAAAATTAGATCTCAGAGTGAGGCATTGATATCTGTACAATATTGACAACAGCTATGAGTTTATTTACTGTCTAAGATTCTATTTTGACAAACATTGCCCCAGGATGGCTAACTGGTCAAGCTGTCATTCAAACTCAGTTTGATTGCCAATACTTTGCCTGCCAGTCCTGTGATTTAGCCCCGGGTACCTAAAATTGGAATGTTCTGAATTAGGAATTAGCTATGGCAACTGTGGAACACCGGTTCTAAGGGCTTAATGATATACTATGTAAATGACATGGCAAAGCTTTCAAATTGGATTCATGTTGCTGGTTTGGGATGAATGACGTCATGTGGCACTGTAAGCGAGAACGATGTTTGCATAACATCTATTGTAAATATATTCAATACTGTAATAATAAACTGTTAAAAAGAAAAAAACCCCAAAGATTCCTCAGCACATATGGAAGAAATTTTTGAAAGTTTAGCTTGCAAGCTATGTAATTTTGTAATATTTTTCTTTAAATCACTGGTGCCATCTTAAATTGCACAGATGGTAATGGTGACTGTTTATGATGTTACATAGTCCGTGTTCTATTTTGCGTGAGTTGATGTTATCCTACAATAAAAAGCCCTCATAGAGACTCAGTCTGTTTCTTAAATACATATTTAAAGCTATCCAATAAAGCTGTTTTACTGCCATGTACAAATTCTGAAACTTGCAGTAGTTTGCAAGATACTATGTGCTAACGAATGGGCCTAGAGTTTTAAAAAAAAACTATTTAATTTTCTAATTTTACTATAACTTTATAAAACAAAAGGGTTGATAGAATTAGGATGAAAAGCTTTAGTTGGCCCATTACATGGAAATTCTGTCAAATTACTACATTTATTAGAAGATTTGCTTTTATAGCAAGTGAGCTCTTGAGTTGTGCAGAATATTTCAAAGTGCCATTTTCATTCTAACAGAGTGTATTCTCAACATTATTTTGTTGGCTGCTGCAGCTTATTAGGGCATCAAAGTTAATTTACTCCCCACATACAGAAAACAGTAATTGATTGGAGCCTCTAGTTCCATAGAGTGGAGCAGCCTTATCCTGGTTAACAGCCTCTCTGATCTTTCCCATAGTTTCCCAAAGAGTCTAAGCAATGTTCTTGAAGCCTGATCCTATATCCCTTTCACACCCCAAACTCTCACGGAAGTCAATGGACGCAAGCAGCTGCACTCAAAGTGGGAGGAGCGATGAGCCTTTTGACAGTGTGGTCTCATTTAGGTCTCTCGTCTCCCAGGAATTGTGCAGACAGTTCTGTGCACAGATCAAGGGTAGAATGTGACCCTTAAGGTACAGCTTGTTCTCTGTTTTCCAGGAACAAGTCTGACACTCTGTGCTAGTTGTGGAAGTGAATTTTATTCCTCCTAACAGTCAGAGTCCTGCAACTACTAAACATAAAATAAAACTGACTGTGTGAAAAGTTGAACCCTGTTTCTGGGCCAGTTGGCCGGATCACCATTTAAATGGACAGAAAAATTGAAGGTATCTGCACAAAAAGCAAAAACACAGAGCAAGACATTGGCAGAGCCTTCTCTATAGGCTCTTCTTACCCTGGCCCCAACAGTAATGCCTACTACTTTGAAAGTGTCCTGGACTGGCCAAAAAAAAAAAAAAAAAAAAGCCATACAGCTTTTCTGCCAGTGGTAGCTTTGTTTCTGTTTTCAAACCAAGCCTGTCTACACCCATCCTTGCTTTACATTGGAAGCTGCATACACGCCTAATAAAAATAAACTCTGCAGCTATTTCTGGATAGAGCTTCTACTATGCCGGCTGCTGTTTCTTTCAGTTTCATCACAAATAGTGATGCAAAATACAGGTATGGGAAATAAGGCCAAGGAACCAGCAGTAACAAAGAGGCTACAAAACTAAGATGTTGTTAAGTAAAAAGGCCTCATGTGAGGTGAGCTTGCATTTCTCTGTGAACGCTCTGCCTGCATGCACAAAGGAGGTAACTGTCAGACAGAGGTATGTCTCTTTGTATGCACAATTACCCACTTTACAAATGAAATCAAAAGTAACTGCGTGCCAATTAGACAGGCCTTTTTGTGTGCAGACATTTAAACTTGTGGTACATCATCAACGTTTTATTTTATTTTACTATTATAAAAATAAGGGGAGAACAGTTTAAAAAAAAACCCACAAGGAAAAAGAAGAAAGGAAGTGGGTGGGGCAGAGAAGGGAAAGGAGAGTGACACCTTGCACCTCAGTTTCCAGTCACTAAGAATTAATCAAAGGTTTCTAAAAGTTAGACCAAATCTTTTCACATTTGTCTGAGGTCCTGTTTCTCCAAAACATTAGCTGCCAGCTTAGCCAAGTGTCTATCCCTGGAGGCAGTCTACGCTACCGTCTAAGCAATCATTTAAAGCAGTGCTTATAGCCAGAGAACCATTTGGATATAGCACCATCTTTCTTCAATTATGCTGCAGCTGATGCACTTGGAACTGAAACATGGCTGCATAATTACAAATCTGTACCCTTGCTCCTTTTTGGCTCCAGAGGCCAGTCAAAGTTCAGGCCCCGAGGGCTGTTCGACTTGGGAGCAGAAATTAATGAGGGAGCTGATATTTTCTTTGATGCAGTTTTGTTTATTTACAAGGCATGCAGGAGGAATTAAAAAAACAGGATCATGTCTTTGATTACAGCCCCTTTACCCAGCACCAAACCCAGAATCTTCCTCTAGGTTTCTCCTGGCTCACCCTGTGCTTACAACCAACTGCTTGGCTTCCTTCCTACCTCTAAGGCTTGCTCATTCTGCTAGTTCTACATGCACACACATTCACCTTACCTAGCAAAATCCCTCTGCCCACATGGTCTTTAATTCCTTGGCAGATTCACCCCCCCTTTCGTCTTAGGTCGGGAGGGGGGCTTGTGATTAACTTGTCCTGACATTTATGTTAAATGAAGAGTGTATTTGTACCCACTTCCAAAGAGGTTTGTGATGGATGCAATCACCAATAACTGTCAGCATAACTGTATTATAAAGAGGAGATAAGATCTATAAAGAATCACTGTAAAATGTAGTTAGAACAGTAGTCTCAAGCAAGAGGCATTTTTAATGAGCATATATTTTGAATGTGGAATAGAGTATTTAGTAGAATGAGTTAATTTATGCAGCAAATGGGGACAGATTCAGCGCAACTAGATTTTATATCTATAATTGTTTTCCATGTTACAGATTTGAAGGTTCCCTCGTTGATGTTCCCAAGTTAAACATGTTTAATGATTCCTGCTGTGAAAAGGTCATACAAGTCACCATGGAGATACAGCTGTCTCTACAAATAAGATTTGCTAATGCCCATACCTCTATGAATAGAAATATACCACTGCTATGTAATAAAACCAAAGCCTGAATGCCCTTGGCCCAGTATTCCAGTTGGATCTTATAGCCATAGTGCTATTTGGAATCACAGAGCAATGCAACACCCCTTAGAGTCCAGTGGTCAGGATTTTGCACAGTTTTCAAATATAAAGAGAAAATGTATGTCAGGTCCGTTCGTCGAGGCTTTTTGTACACAGGACAGGAGTACAAGCTCCCTGGCTGTTTCTTTGGATCCAGTGGTGCAGTGGTGCTGATCGCGTACACATGGACTACAGGAAGACTTGTGAACAGCACCTAAGGGGAACATTAACAAAAAACAAACCACTCAGAGAGCCATTCCAGGGACGCTGAATCCCACTAGTGACTTAACAACCCCTTTCGGGATGTAACAGACCAGGGCACGGTAGGTAGCTGCCAGTGGCACAGCACTGCAGGGGACTTCAAGGGGCGTGGGTCACCCCCTGACTTTTTCTGCTGCTTCTTTGCTTACAGCAGTGCTGCTGGGAAGCTGCTTTGCTGGGCTCCTAGCAGGTGCAGCAGGGAGTGGAAGCCCCATGCTGCTGCTTAGCCCTGCACGATCACAAAAATATCGTCAAGCCAGTGAAAGCCCCAGGGTGGCTGGGGTTGGGAGGACCCGGAAGGTAAAGGCAGTGGGCAGGGGGACCTATAAAAGAGCCAAGAAGTAGAGGAGAGTGGGGAGATTAGGGGAGAGTCTCTTTCCCTGTCCTTTCATTAGCCTTCCTCATTCTTTCCCCACCCTCCTCCTCTTTGCTAACTGGGAGAAGTGGAGCTTCACCGGAGAAGCTGCTACTAGCAGCCCCACTTGCCTGCGCTCTTTTGCTAGCAGCGGAGCTCCAAAGAGCAAACAGGTGCCTGCTGGGTGTTTATCCAAGCCAGATCTGACTATCCGGGATTTACCCATCACTACACATTACGCCTGTGAGCAGCTAAATACCTGACACCACGAGTCAGCTTAATCACAGTTATACACCGCATTTGCTGCACAGAAACTATATAGCATGCACTGCTTGATGACCAGAAGTTTATAAACGTTTGCTTCCGTCAGTCAGGACAGGCACACGCGTGGGAAACATCTTACCACGAACAGAGAACGCTAGAGTTGGCTGTCACAATGGCAAAGATCTCAGACACAGTTCTCATCCAGTGGGAGGCGTACGTGCTTTACCAACCCCAGACAGGAATTCCTGACCCACGACTGCAACGTAGTTACCTCTGGGGTAAAGCCTGGCAACGTTTTACAGAATACAGGAACCCTACAGAACAGTCTGGAGTGGGAACTGAAGAATACTGCACCCTGCTGATACCGCAGAGGCAACTGGTTTTAGATAAACTTAACCAAACTGAGGCTTGAGCAAGACCTCAGAGCTAACACATCTACTTGTGTAAAAAAATGCCAAGGACTTCAATGACCGCAAAGGTCTGGTCTTCAGTGGCTTCTATCATATGCTATCCTACTTAGCTTACAAGTTTTGATGGGAGCACAGCTTAATTTGATATGGATGTGGGCATTACTAGTATGTAGCTACGTACCTGTGGCTCCCTGAAGCAGAAGAGTATGCCTTTGAACTGCTACAGTTACACCCATCTCAGATGAGATCCTAAGTTCCTCTTCACAATGGTGCTTCATTGTTCTAACCCACCCCCCATATTTATCCTTTCCTCCCTAGACAGCCCTGGACACAGCTTTCACCCCCTGGCTATGAGGGTGGTCAGCCATACACATGCCAAAACAACTCTTCCAGATGTGCAGATGAGAGGTTCTTGTGTAATCACCTTTGGCTTCCAAGAGCAGCACCTTGTGCTATGTGTTTGAGTGGTACCATTCTGGGGAGCAAAAGCTCAGGGGCTGCCTGCAAGCCCGGCTTTTCCACATTCCAGGTCACAGAGCTGCTATCAATCTACTCACGTCCCCCGGGTAGCATTTTATCCCAACTACAATATATTGTGCAATCACTGTCCCAGTCACACTGAATGTTTCCTTAAGGCACCCTGCTGACCAGGTTTTATTTACTATTCTGTAACTGTGCCACACTCTCTTTGTTTCAGACAACTTGACACTAACCTTTGGTGCAGACTCCATGAGCTTGGCATTCCTGCGGTCCCAACCTGCTCCGTCCAGGAAAAGGCCATATATGTAAACCCCACCAATGTCAGCAGGAGGAGGGCTGCTAATATCTTCTTTCATCATCCTGGTTACGTCATTGTGTAAAATAACACTGTCGAGTGCCCAGCCTTTTGCTAAATTCAAGCGTGTTGTTTCCTGCCGCATGGCAGTTAGGAATCCCTGTAGTGAAACAATGTTAAGTGGAGAAAGAAAAGGAAAGTTTGAGTGTTAGCCATGTCCCACTACTATTCCTTACTTCATTATAACAGTGACTTAAAAGCATAAAGTGCTACACTACATAATGTCAGCTGCTTATCAAATCAAGTGCAACAGTGTAAACCCACTGCTTTCATATATAATCACAGTGACATGCCCCATTATGTATTTGCTATTTGGGTGTGGGTGCCAAAAAGCATTTAACATATCAAACATTACATACATAAAGGAGCCCACCTAGCAGACATACTTTACAGCTACAGATACTTTGGACAGATGGAGAGAGATCTGACAAATATGCCAGATTAATTTAATGTGGTTTGTGTCATCCCTGAACACAGGCAATTGCTTGGCCACAAATAATTTTAGTATTTCACTATATGCTCTACAGCTCTGCTTTTCCAAGAATAATATCATTAGTCATTTACACTGCAAAAGTACTTCTCATCCCACAAGGATGCCAAAGTACTTTACAAACTGAAATTGAAGTACAAAGGAAGTATGCACAGGCATCAAATCATCCCCCTGAAATGCAGCCATCACTGGGGTGAAATGCAGTCACTGCTTAATGGGTCGTTGCAAAGCTATACTAAATTATTTTATTATATTTTATTCATTTGATGCTCATTTATACAGCACAGTAAACGACACAGCATTTAGAAACACTATGAAATCCATTTCTGCCCCAAAGAGCTACAATCTAAGAGAGACAAGAAGAATAAAACAAAGATTCAGGGAAGTGAAAGATGGAGCCCGGGAAGAAATAGGTTTTAAGGACAGATTTCAAGGAATAGAGAGAGTGAGGGTTTGGTGGACAGATGTGGGAGACATGTGGGGCAGTGAGTTATAAGTATGAAACAAAGGGTGGGAGTGCAAAGGGGGCAGTGAAGTTAGAGGACTGGTGGTGTCAGTCAGGGAGAAAGAAATGAGACCATCATGAGATTGGAAGCAATGAAAGACCTTCACTGTGATATTGGAGACTGTTGGGTGAACAGGCCCATTATTATTATTCACTACTAGTAGCAGAAAGCCCATGCTGTTGCACAGGTGTAATTTGTAAAGTTGTGTGCACAAAAAAGCCAAAAATGGCTGAGAAGCTAAAACCTGGATGGTAACAGAATGTTAATCCTGGTGATGATTGAACTTGGTGGTATCCTGAAAAAAAAAGACCCCCCCCCCCGCACCATGCTTGCAGTTGTATCTGTCACTGCACACTCACTCAACAGACACTCTAGGCTTCAGAGTGATGTTTGGGGCAATTGTGTACACTGGCTGCGTTGTGCGGGAGTTATGTTGTGCTAGGAGAGTTATGTGGATTTGTGCAAGTGGTGAATGGGGGTGCGTGCTGCAGTGATGGGTTATGTGTGTTGGGGGTTATTGTGTGTGCTGGCTGTGTTGTGTGCATGGCTTGTTGATTTGTGGTTAGGGACTGTCATACTGAGAGATTTGTGTTGATTTGTGTGGGTGGTGAATGAGGGGTGTGTGCTGTGGTGAGGTGCTGTGTGTGTTTGGGGTTATTTTGTGTGTGTGTTGCATTGTGCTGTGAGAATTGGGGGGGGGGGAAGGATAGCTCAGTGGTTTGAGCATTGGCCTGCTAAACCCAGGGTTGTGAGTTCAATCCTTGAGGGGGCCATTTAGGGATCTGAGGCAAAAATTGGGGATTGGTCCTGCTCTGAGCAGAGGGTTGGACTAGATGACCTCCTGAGGTCCCTTCCAACTCTGATATTCTATGATTCTATGAATTGTAGTGAATTGTGTGTGTGGTGAATGGTGTGTGCTGCTGTGAGGGGCTATGTGTGTTTGAGTAATTGTGTATGCTAGTTGTGCTGTTGTGTGGGTGGTTGTGGTGATTTGTGTCTATAGGTGTTGTGCTGGGAGATTTGTGTTGTTTTGTGCGGGTGTCTGTTGGGCATATGGGGGGGCAGTTCTTGGGACAAGTAATCCACCATCTGTGCAGTCTCCCTCATATAACCAATGAAACTACTGCATGCAGATTAGATGTAGAGTTAAGAGGGTGATTGGTTGAGTTACCACTGATATCACAATGATCTAGAATTCTTGGCAGGGCATAGATACATGCCTAAATGTAGCTGTACACGTGTAATTCGTAAAGTCAGAATAACTGAGAACTTAAAAACTGGACACTACCAGACTGCAAAATCCAGTGATGATGGAACACAAAGAGCTCTCAAGCACACTTGTGGTGCTTCCATCACTTCACACTGACTCACCAATATTTTAAGCTTCAGAATGACACACAGAGTGACTGGAATCTTACTATTTAGATTTGTATTGCAGTAGACCACGTTGGGCCCTTGGTTCAGTACTGCTTCCAAAGAAAGAAAGGCACCTGCTGAATGATCAGCATCTTGGCTCAAACAGGTACAGAACCCACCCACCTCTGCTACTTTTGTGAGAACTAGTGGGATTAGAGCACACAGAATATGGCTGCAGGCGCTGTTTGTCACACTACTGGATTCCTTGTTCTTAGTGCCAGTCCCAAGTCCCAATAAAGCGGGAAGGTTGGGTGATGGCCTGGCAAGCCATCCCCATAAAACATCTCTAGCTTCAGCATGTGGAAGAAATGGACATAAAACTTTGGCTACTTCAACAGCTTTGGCAGTTCCATCTGCTACTCACAACAGAACCAAGCTTCAGGATTCGTCTAAATCAATTACGTGCAGAGGAGTCAGACCGTATGATGATGGTCCTTCAATAAACCAAATATGGGGCGGAAGAGCCTGATAATAAAAAAGTACATCCACTTCTGCAGCAATGCCAGTGCCTGAGGATGGGATTGTGGGATAACTGGTCATTAAGAGCTGTTGGAAAAACAAGTCTCCCGGTGGAAGAATTGGAATGGTTGAATGTGGATATATGCAGTGTACAGGAGCCATGGTGGAATTTGAGCAGCAAGGGCACAGCTGTGACTCTTAGAGGTTAGACCTTTTAATTGTTTCATGCATGATGAGCATGCTGGTGTTGCTCTGGTTTTGTGCCTGAGGGTGCAATTGGCAATACGGACCTGGCACGCTTCATCACCACGCCTGATAGCCACCATTTTCAGTTGGAAGGTAGGATGTGTGGTAGTTATTATTGCATATGCTCCACAGGACACTAGGCCTGATACTGAGATGCTTTTTTTTTTTTTTTTAACCATGGTAGATGACATTGGATCCGATACATCACCCTGACTTCATATGGTCACCATAAGGAGATATGAACATGAGAACTGGCCATGACCGAACTGGATTTGAACTGGTACTGGGACCACACAGTTTACCAGAAGAGAGATCAGATAATGAAGTGCATCTATAAGAATGTGTTTCTACACACAGACTATTTTTAATGGCTACCTGGCTTCAGCAAAAGAAGTGCCATAACATTTTGATATCCATCAGGCAACAATGCAACTTTGGATCACATTTTGAAATCCTTGATTAAAATCATCCGTGGATCTATGTGTATTTAGGAGTGCTGATCTTGCTCCGGAATCTGATCATCGACTCCGAACAGTTCCATTTAAAAAAGTTCCAGAGAGGACATCTATTGCATGGAAATGCTTCAATGTTCATAAACGTCATGAAGAAATGATCACTAATAGTTACCCAGTAGTGATTTCCAACAAATATTCTATATTAGATGATCAATTGTCTTCTGCAGAGGAAGAATGGACTTTATTTGGGGATTTTATCACAGAAGTTGCTGGAAAACAACTGGGACTAAGGAGAATGAACAAGCAATGTTGGATTACAGATGACTACATCAAATTGTGGGAGAGAGAAAAAAAAAAAAGGTGTGATGCCAAAGGGATGCACCTGCAGGTCAGAGCTGAGTCAGCGAAGAGACGAGGAAATGGATAATAGAGGAAAAGAAATGTCTTGAATGAGCAATCAAGAGGGCTTTCTGGAATGATCATAATCAATGTTGAAATAGTATGGCCCAGTACATTGAGAAAGCCTCTGAAAGACATGACCAGAAATGTGTATTTGTCCTAAATGGAAGTCCATTCTTTTGGGTTCTGCAAGTTAAGGATAAAAATGGATGTTGATGCACAACTTAAGCACTTGCATGATCATTTTTGTGAATTAATGAACAGATCCCCATCAAGCTGTAAACTACAACTTAATCCAAAAATGAATCCACCATAAAAAAGGCTGGTGACATTAGAGGAAATGATACTTGTGGTTAAACAGTTATGAGATGATAAAGCATCTGATCTTGACAATATTTTACCATAACTGCTAAAGAGAGGAAGCCTGGATTTTGTTCACTGTCTTCACAAAGTTGTCTTAAAAATTTAAGAAATGAGTTATATTCCATAACATTGGAAAAGGGATTGCATCATCTCTTTTTTCAAAAAAAGGAGAGCAATCAGCTTGCTCAAATTATAGGGGTATATTGCTCCTGCCAGTCAGGAAGGTGTTTACGATCATATTACTGAACCAACTGAAATATTGTCTCAACCCAAAAAAGAGAGACAACCAGTGTGGTTTCCACACAACTTGACCGTTAATCCATGCTATATATTCTCTTTGGAAAATTATTGAAAACAACTAGAACAATGAAAGGAAGCGAACATCACATTTATAGACTTTGCAGCTCCTTTTTACTCAGTGGATCAAGTACTGCAGATACTGCTACACCAGTATGGGATGCGCAAGGATTTAGTGTGCTAATGGAGGAACTGTACCTGGGTACATTTAGCTGTGGGAGGTCACGGTTGCATTACAGACTGGTTTTCAGTAGAATCAGGAGTATGCAGGGTTGCGTTCTCTCACGTAGGTTATTTAATGTTCTAATAGACTATCTGATGACAAAACTGACTGAGGCCAAAGTAGGAGGTGTGAAATTTAAAGATTCATCTTTAGAGGATCTCAAATATGTGGACAATATTGCTTTACCTTTACTGACCAACCACAGCTAATGCTAGAAGAGCTGCAAAAAACTGCAGAATCTATAGG